GTGAGGCCCTGAAGCTGAATGCATGGATTCCTCTCTCTCTCTGAGTCCATGAATCAGAGCCACTTCTGAGTAGACAGTTTATAGCCATGAGAAATATTCACATATCATGTCGGGTACAAAGAGCAAGATCCTTTCATTTATTTACAGTATTTGTATGGCACTTTTCTGGCAGACCTCACAAAGCGGCTTACGGAAGATTATTACAGCAATAAGCACCTGCTTTTTAAAGAAGGGTTACAAAAAGTGGAAAAGACAACCTGTTTGTTTAGAAGAAGCTGTTGGTGCTTCTTCTCCCCTCCCCTCCCCTCAGGGCAGGTGGTCCCTTCAGATGCCCCCGTGGTGACTGTTCAAAGTTTTTAAAAGTTTTACACAGCTTAGGACCCAGGCGGGTGTTGGATCATCTTTTCTACCCAGTCACTGAGTTTGCTGTCTCAAAGCTCTCATTTGGGTGCTTCTACCTTTGGAGGCAAGGCAGTGACCTGGAGAGAGCCATCTCTGAACTCTTTTCCCAGGAAGTCTCACCTACATCATGGTCATTTTGACAGCAATCAAATACCTTTTTATTCCTCCAAGCTTTTTTAAAACCTTGGAAGCCACTGTGAGAGCTTTATCTGCTGTTTTGTACTATACATCATCAGCTGGGTTTTTTTTGTCATTCCTTTGGAGCTTTTTTATAACAACAACTACTACTACTACTACTACTACAACTGTGATCTACTCTGTGTGCCCCTTTTGTGTCAAAGATGTGGGTTATGCGTCCTGTCAACATAGAAACCCTCAATTTCATGTCACCCTTCTTCAGAGCTGCCAGACAAGAGGACTTGTTTCTGCATAACAATTAAAGCAATGTAATTAGTTTACCCATAGTTATACTGTGCCCTCAAGTCATACAATGATCTTACATTGCTGCAGTGAGGTGGCTGGACAAATCTGAGTGTATTTGCATAAACAGTCCTACATGGACCTCCCCTAATTCAAATTAGTCACTACCCTTCAAGTCCAGCAAAGCCCTCCTAAGGCATTTGCAAGTGCACCTGTTGCTGGGGTGGGAACCATTAACTCGTGTCAACTCCCTGTGTCAACCAGCAGCTGTCAATATAATTTTGTTATCTGAGTTGTGGGGCCCTCTTGATTGGCAGCATGGGTGAAGTGCTATATACTTTTCTTTTTCCATTTTAGGAAAGATACGAAAGCCGGGGCAAGAAATGGAAGGAGTTTAGTATGCATTGTCTTCCAGAGTTTTTAAAGGTTTTATTTTTTTATGTGTTAAAAAACAAATCCAGCAAAGACAAAGCCAGAGCCTTGGGGCTGTTTTTCCAAGTGAATTACAGCCTTTTGTGAAGAGTTTTTTTGGAATACGAACACTGACAGGCTGTCCTTTCTAGTGGGTGCTCCTCTTCCTCTGACAGTTCATCAGCCAAACCCCTGACCCCACCACCCTTAATCATCCTTGCTTGTCAGTGATATAATTGTGCGATTACCAACACCTCCCCCCTCCTGGACTCCTTTCAAATTACTAACAATAGTCCATGTGAAATACAAAATGTAAATGAAGCACCCAGACTAATTTTTCGGCCTTCATTCAGATGGACTGAGCTTGCATTCCCCTCCTTTGTCTATGAACATGACTGATGAAGGCTTTCAGGAACTCGGGAGGCCTTCAGTGTAAACGGAGAGGCTGACGTCATGGTGTTATTGATTTGGGGATTTCACTTTCAGTCGCAGGTTGTGAATGAGCATTGGGGAGATTTCTTCAGGTGGACGCAAGAACAAACAGCTACCAACTCTACCTTTATTTAGTTCAGAAAGTGGGCATTTTGGCCATTGTTGAGTGTTCTGCATCATCTTAAAAGGTTCGGGTGGGGGGCGGAATAGAACTTGTCCTCACCTTGCCTCCCTGTTTCCTATCCTATTTGAAATTCAGGTTTTTAGCTGAAGAAACTGGCTCCTTTGCATATATTCCTTTAAAGCGCCATGTATGTGGGTGGCACTGTATTAAATATTTTGATGGGAGTGTTTAATAAAATAATTTTGCATATTGAATTCAAAATGATCTCCAACTTAATTCTGTGTGTTCAGTGCCTCCTCACTTCACCTCAGTGTAGTCTGCATGGTCTTATCGTGGTCAGGAAGGTTTTATTTTGACCTAAGAATGGATAGATGTGCTTTTTATCTAGTGAGGTGCTGGGAACAGCCACAACTGGAGATATGATGAAGGACTTTTCCCAGGGAACGGGGTGTGTGGGAAATAAAGGGTCCAAATAAGTAAACATATGCACATATATGCCTAGAATCCAAGGCTACCATTTGTAGTAGATCCGTGACTGAGCAGCAGTGAGGCCTGGGTAGACCTGACTTCTGAGAAACTTGTATTCCAGATCCAGTCCTCTATTGCTTTCCATGAGTGACTTGGCATCCAGACAGCTTCTTTCCACCTCTAGCTGTAACTCTGAATTCTCTCCCTGGCTACCTTCACCACTTTTAGCCCTACAATAAACTTTGCAGCCCCCTCCCTCATTGGGTTTCCTGAAAGTGGGGGAGCTGACATGTTTTTAGTAGGCATTGTAAAGAGTACAGTGAAGGCAGACCTGTTCAGGGAAGTTTTTGATGCCTGATACAGTAGTACCTAGGGACGCGGGTGGCGCTGTGGGTTAAAGCCTCAGCGCCTAGGACTTGCCGATCGAAAGGTCGGCAGTTCGAATCCCTGCGGCGGGGTGCGCTCCCGTTGTTCGGTCCCAGCGCCTGCCAACCTAGCAGTTCGAAAGCACCTTCGGGTGCAAGTAGATAAATAGGGACCGCTTACCAGCCGGAAGGTAAACGGTGTTCCGTGTGCTGCGCTGGCTCGCCAGATGCAGCGATGTCACGCTGGCCACGTGACCCGGAAGTGTCTTTGGACAGCGCTGGCCCTCGGCCTCTTGAGTGAGATGGGCGCACAACCCTAGAGTCTGTCAAGACTGGCCCGTACGGGCAGGGGTACCTTTACCTTTACAGTAGTACCTCTGGTTATGTAAACTTTGGAACGCAAAAGTGGCAAGCCCAGAAGTATTTTACTGGGTTTAGCCACATGCGCAGAAGTGGTCCTCTGGTTGTGAAAACCTCTGGATCCGGCCGGACCTCCGGAACGGATCCCATCCACAACCAGAGGTACCACTGTATTTTATAGGAAAGTGCTGTTGCTCTTATTTAAATGAATAAATGTTCATGTGCACCTGTCTTTGCCCTTTGCCTTTGTTTCTCAAGTAGAAGCCCAGTGGCAGGTGAACTATAATTCAAGATATCTGGATCGTTTTCTATGGGGCCAGTAGTGATTTCTCCCTGCTTCAGGGAAGACCATGCTAGAAGACTTGAAAAGGATGTGGTCCTTTGTATCTAAGGGTGTCCTGACAACCAGTGTTTGTGTCAGTTGTGATTCTAAAGCTGGATTTGTCAAATGTGTGGTGTGTGGGTTGGCTGTGAGTGATTGTTTAGGAGTTCCAGCTGGTACAAAAAATGCACCAGCCTGCCTCTTGTCTCCTGACAGGAGTGGGTCACTAGCAGTATGTTTCACTCATGCTTTGGCATCTGCAGTGGTTCCTCATTCGCTTCTGATCACGATTCAAGGCTTTTTTATGTTAGTTTAGGCCTAGCGTACTCCTGTGTTCCACTGAAATCTTTGTGGTTGACAAAGAAACGCCTCTTGACTCAGCCAGTCATTCTAGTGTTGAAGGGAAGCAGAATTACCCAAAGCTGTATTGCTTTATTCCCTGGAAGATTACAACCCCCCCCCCAAAAAAAACAACAACCCTCAAGCCATATCTTTTAGCAAGTGTTAAAAAGTTTTTTGTTTTTTTCTGTTTTGTTTTTGCTCATCGGGCCTAAGCCAATCAAGGTTAGATTTTTTGGTAGATGCTGTTGTAGTGTAATATTTACTTTGATTTAGGCTTCTGTTACCTGTCCTGTAGTAGACAGTATTTTAAAGAATGCAAATTAGCAGTCAATCATGAGTCTGATATGCAGTTGTATTTTGAGTTAGCTAGTCTGGTATTGATGTCCTAATATTCATCAGGACATTGACATGTGGATCTGCATTTGTCCAGGGGATAGAATGCTGTATTTTATTGAGGAGAGGTAGTTTCAAGTTGCATCCTTGCCATGGACTCATTTGTAGTATTATTAATAATAATATTTATTCATTTTTTATTTATTCCCCCCCCCCAAATCTGGCTGGGTTTCCCCAGCCACTCCGGGTGGCTTACAGCATATATCAAAACATAATAAAACACCAACCATTAAAAACTTCCCGATACAGGGCTGCCTTCAGATGTCTTCTAAAAATTATGCAGTTCTTTGTCTCCTTGACATCTGAAGGGAGGGAGTTCCACATGGAGGGCGCCACTACCAAGAAGGCCCTCTGTACTGTTACATATGAAGGACTGTATGTCTTGTGCTCACTACATGGTGGTATTGTATAATCCTAGGCTCCTTGTTGATCTTTTAATAGGAAACATCTTGAATCGGTTCCCTAAACACAGTGGCTGGATGTCAAAATAATTGCATGCGATGGAAGAATAATGGTGGTGGTGTTGAACATGCCGTCTTGGTTTGAGCCCTCTTTAGTACATGGGGCTACTGCATTTCCAAGTTTCTTTACTGAACACTGAAAAATTCAGGAGTACTCCAATGAGTATGTGATAGGTGTTGCCCATGTATAATCAGTCGTTGCATTTATGTCTGGGAATAAACTTCGTCTTAGGTTACTGTAGATGGTAACTATAAGGAAGGCAATGGATTGACTTTCCCCACAATGTATGGGGTAGATCATCTGGTTAATCCCTTTGCATGTGCCTTATTGAGCATACCATTCTATTGAGGTCAGAGTTTTGCCACGTAAAGTGAAATCTGTTGAATGTCAGGTGCGGCTGAAACAACAAGGTTGTTACCAGATGCCTGGGGGAACTGGGGTACTGTTGTTTGGGAAACTAATGAAATGCAGCTCTGACTCCCACATCTCTTCCTCACAGACGAGCTCACCTCCGCCTGTGTCTAGAACGTTTAAAAGTTCTGATACCACTAGGACCTGACTGCTCCAGGCACACAACCCTCGGGCTGCTTAACAAAGCCAAAGCACATATCAAGGTAAGAGCTGCATCTCTTTGTGTTTTTCCAGCACGTTTCAGTAAGATTAGTCTGGTAATGAAGTTTTGATTATCTAGGAGCCATAATTGCACTAAGGAAAGTTGACACCCTACCTTGGAGGATTAGTACCATAACATTATTACATTGTAAGTTTTTTCTTACAGCATAGTCCTATGCATGCTGACTTGAAAAGGGCTCAGTGAATTCAATAAGACTTTACTGAGTCCCAGTAAGGGTGTGCATAGGATTGCAGCCTTAGTTTGGCCATTAATGCACAGATCGACCTAGCATTGGGAATACTGTTCCTGAAATGCTACTCTTTGTTTTTAAATGATTCTTTTAAAACTCCAGAACATTTGCAGTTTCACAAACCAGGAAATTCACCAAGAGTTTGTCTTGCACCAATGCCATTAAAATCAACAGGAGTTGTGCAGGACACTGCAGTTTGTAAGCCATTGGAGTCAATTGAAAAATATTTATTGTGCTAACGCCATTAATTCCAGCAGGGCTTGCACTGGAGTTTTAACAGACTATAATCACTATAATATCCAAACTGCGGCTCTCAGCTTCATGTTAGAAACTATAATAGAAAGATACCAAAGTTTAATGAATTCACTGCAGGAGAAGCTGCAGTCAGATGTGGGAAGGTTTCTGTCTTCCCCAGCCTGTTCCTATAGCATATTCAAGATCAGGAGGTTCTGAATAAGTTCAAAACTAATATGTAGCATGAATGCTTTGGAAAGGCATTCGGCTATATGCAATGAGTTTATTGCACTTTACTACGTGCGCCTAAAATTTATATCTGGTGTGATTCATTATGTCATTAATCATAGTCTTAGAATGCAGATTTTTCCACAAAATTAAATTAAGAGTTGGATCATTTGAAATGATGTGCCCTTCTGCTGGCATTCTTTGTAAATTAACTCTCAAATATATTGAGTGTATAAATACCACTGAAATACTGAAGAAAACAGGATAGTAAATAATATGGCTGAAATCATAAGATGTTTACTTGGCTAGAATTTCTCCTGAAACTGTAATATGCACAACTGAAATAAAAATAGCAGAGTGTCCCTTACTGCCTTAAAGACTAACAAAATTGCTGCATTAATAATAGCAGCAGAAGTGTAGTTTCAAGTTGGGCTTTAAACTCTTCAAAGATGGAAAGGGGGGAAATAGTAGAATTTGAGCTGGATGGAATTGTTAAAAATCAAGCCCAATCTCAGAAGCAAGGCAAGACCAGTGAAAGATCATTCAGCATAATCTAGACCAAAGTGTGCCATAGAGAGAATCTGATGTTCAGCACAAATTACTCCAGGTAACTTAAGCAAGTGAGCCAGGCCACATGCTACAGGGAAATGCTGCTAAGGACCACCAGTGTTAACTGTTTGGGTTTTTTTTAATGCCCTGAAAAGGGAAAGCCAGCACAATAGTCAGTAACAACACAAAGAAAGAGCCAGACTGTTTTGAAGCAACACAGCAGGTGCTCGTGTTTGCAGTTTTTCTGACTCTTCTCCTGATGGTTTGCTTTAACAAAGGGTAGTGCCAGGCTCACAGGGATCAGGATGTGCTTAAACACACTGGAACAGCTCAGGCTTAGCAAGGGAGGGGAACTGTGCTTGCTTAAACGGATGGCATTAGCCTGAGATGACTTTAGAGTTACGCAACATGCTGGCCATCAGGAAACCCTGTGCACTGGCCTGGTAAGATTTCCCAGCTGCGATCAAAGGAGTCTGCAGCAGATTACATAAACCACTGTTCAACTGAGAAACTGCTTCGAAGAAATACCTAATAAACCAAATGAACAAGGGTACACCAACCTTTTTTATAAAAAAAAAACCTTCTAATGCCTTTTCCACTTAAATAATCTGAACAGGGCTGAATGTTCCTGGGTCAGGAGACTATGATCCACTAATGGAGAGAGCTGACAGTGCAGCGTCCCGTGTTAATTAAGCGCTATACTCGATCTCCTCTTGATTTTGTCCTGTTAATTACTCACCAGAATCCTCACAGAGATGTTTTCGTTCTTGTTGCCACCACCAGCAAGCTGTTTCGGTGCCACCCGAGAACATAATTCATTTCAGATGTTAGTCAACAGAGGGAAATGAGTCTGCAGAAAAATACTAGGGAAATCCTCCGTAAGGACATAAGAAAAGGTTCATCTAGTCCAGCATTGTGTTCTCACAGTGGCCAACCAGATGCCTATGGGAATCTCACAAGCAGCTCTGGGGCGCAACAGCCCTCTGCCCACTTGTGATTCCCACAGCTGGCACTCAGAGGCGTCTTGCCTCTGACAGTGGAGGCAGAACATACCGTAGCTGTCAAGAAACAATAATTTGCTTGCTTTTTATCATGGCAGAAACTTGAAGAGGCTGACAGGAGAAGCCAGCACCAGCTTGATAACCTGGAAAGAGAGCAAAGATTCTTAAAGCGAAGATTGGAACAGCTGCAGGGCTCTCAGGAGATCGAGCGAATACGAATGGACAGCACTGGATCAACCATTTCCTCAGATCGCTCTGATTCAGAGCGGGGTCAGTATTTCATCTGTGACTTTAGAGAAGGGTGCAGAATTTCTGAGGCTCCCTTTCCACACATCTCCCCTCCTTCAGCCCATGAGCAGCTTGAATCTAATTCACCTGGCAAGACAGCCTGCTTTCACAGACATCTAAAACATTATTTCTTCCATGGTAGTTTCTTCTTTAACAAGGCTCACGGCTGGAGTCAGATGAGATGTAGTTCAAGATATCATTTTGACCCCATGCTGCTTTTCGATTCCTGTTATGGTATTGGCTTTTGATTTTCACCCCCCTGGCCCTTCACCTGGCCCTGTTCAACACAGAAACTAGTAGCATGAAGCACAATCCAGCGCAAAGATAATGGCTTTAAACCTCATTGATTTGCCATCGCCCAATGTGCACTGGGGACACGGGTGGTGCTGTGGGTTAAACCACAGAGCCTACGACTTGCCGATCAGAAGGTCGGCAGTTCGAATCCCCACGACGGGGTGAGCTCCCGTTGCTCGGTCCCTGCTCCTGCCAACCTAGCAGTTCAAAAGCACGTCAAAGTGCAAGTAGATCAATAGGTACTGCACCGGCGGGAAGTTAAACGGCATTTCCGTGCGCTACTCTGGTTCGCCAGAAGCCGCTTAGTCATGCTGGCCACATGATCCAGAAGCCGGCTCCCTTGGCCAATAAAGCAAGATGAGCACCACAACCCCAGAGTCGGTCAAGACTGGACCTAATGGTCAGGGGTCCCTTTACCTTTAATGTGCACTGGAGTGTTTCATGTGTTGGATCTTCCAGTGACTGTGAAGAAGTGCGTGGCCATACCCAAATGTATTTCACATTTTCTTCTTTTAGTCATGAGGGACCACAAAACATATTCGGGGAAAGCTCGCAAATTCATTTGTGGTAGAAACATCTCCGGATGCAAATGGTATCAGTGTTGTTACTATATTTAAAATTGATTTGAAAAGCACATACTGTGAATACGTGAATGACATCACTAAGGTGTGACAAGATGATTTGCACTTCTTATCCTACATAGTACAGGCAAACCTCGGAGATATTGTGGGTTCGGTTGCAGGCCACCGCAATATAGCAAATATTGCAATAAAGTGAGTCACAGAAACTTTTTGGTTTAGTGCATATAAAAGTTTACACTATACTAGATGTTCACACTATACCGTAGTCTAAAGTGTGCAATAGCATAATGTCTAAAAAAACCTCCAATGTGCATATCTTAATTAATGTGACACAGAAGCACGACATGCATATGCTGTTGGAAAAATGACTCCTCCTTGACGCAGGGTTGCCACGAACCTTCAATTTATTAAAAACACAGTATCTGAGAAGTGCAATAAAGCAAAGCGCAAAAAACGAGGTATGCCTATAATTGGGAAGCAGCGTTAACCAGAATGATTGACACATTAACACTGATAAACTCGAACCTAGTCTGCCTTGTCATAATATCAGTATATTTCAGCATGGGGTTCTTAGATGAGATGAAGGGAATAGCAAAAATTATTGTGCCCCAAGTCATTGTGTCTGTGCAGGATCAATTAGCAGCAGCGTCTCATCTCCCTTATAACACCCTTGCTAATTTGCTCTTGCTATGCTGGACTGAAATAAGGTGTATGTATCTGGCATAGCTATTATTTTAACCTGATTTCTACATAACCATTGAGAAATCTCAGAAGTGAAGATGTTTGATATGTTTCTCCAGGATGACTCCAGAATATTATTATCTATTGTTTCCCCCTAGAAGTTTGTTTTACCTTCTGAGGATGGTGAGCCAGTATGCTTGATGACCCAAAGTATTGTCTATATATTTTAAATGGCATGGGACACACATAATGTGCCATGCAGTTTGATACTCTATGTGGATTAGTGTCCTCTTTCATTAAAGCCTGTCTTTTATGGTTGCCTAGAGGAATTTGTAAATACAGGGACACACTTGCAGGTCAAGGCTCTTTGCTGATTCAGTCATTCGGAGAAGTTTCTAGTCTATATTTCTCCCTGAAGTGCTAGTTTTCCATATTTTTTTATTGTATGCACTAGAGCATTTCAACATGTGTTGCATTCTGAGATAGTACAGTTCCATGCTCTGCTGTGTGCTTTTTCTAAGTGTTTGAAACAACAGACTGTAAAAGGAGATCTGTGCTAGGCATCCATTGGTCAAGATGGCTGAAGGTCTGCATGTCTTCCTGCTCCACAGATGACCCTTTCCTAGACCTCATTTGCCCTTGCAAATTTAAATCTCTGAGAACTCAAAAATTTAGAATGAATCGTGCAAATTAAGTGAGAGGATGCCAATTTACTTGTATTACTAATTCAAAGCGTAGAATGTGATAGTGTCTGCGTATAATTTGCATGCAACGATTAATGTGCCTTCCCTGGTTTGCAACAAAGCTCCTTGTTGTTGATTTGAGAAGGGGTAATCTGTTTTCTAGAGCAGCAGGAGTTCAGATTTACGATATTGTATTGGTAACTATCTGCTTAATCCAAGGCTGTGCCACTAGATATGAATTTTCTCTCTTGAGCTAGCAGCTGAAAGTGATAATCTAATCAATAACTTTCTAATCAAAATGACTGAAAATGTACTAAGCAGTTAAATAGTTGTGCAGTAATAAGCTCCTTTCCGTGCTCAGGAGCACTCACCAATAATTTAAAATGTTTAATCCAAAATCTGTTAAATTGGGAGTCCAAATCAGCTGGCACCAAATGGGCTGTAATAATAATTCTTTCAAAACATGGATTAATATAACGACAGTTTCCTGCCTTCTGTTCTTCCTTTTTCCTCAATGATACAACACTAGACATTTCCAAGCAAATCTCATGATGTGGCCAGGACCTTTTGCCAGTCTTGATTGAACAGTGAACCTACCCTGATACTAACTTGGGGCGTCTTCCTTCTTTTGCAGAAGAAATCGAAGTGGATGTGGAAAGCACAGAGTTCTCCCATGGAGACGTGGATGATATCAGCACAACCAGTACAAGTGACATTGATGACCACAGCAGCTTGCAAAGCATTGGGAGTGATGAGGGTTACTCCAGCGCTAGTGTCAAGCTCTCCTTCACTTCCTAGAGCATGGTGCTAGGGCAGAGCAGATGATTTCTTTGGGGTAGTTGAAGTTCACACAGCAGAGCTCTTAGATACAGTATTTTTCTTCTCCGAACCGCACTTCAACAGCTAAGCTTGGACAGATGCAACTCTAGAATAGCTCTGTGGGTCCACAGGAGGGTGGGAACCTAACAGGGGAGTCAGTCAGTCTCCATGCTGTCATAGTCCAAAATACTGACTTAGTGCTGAACCCATAGCTATTTTGACGTCTGAAGCAGGACTCCAGTTGTGCACAGCTGGACTGAGATTTGCCCATGTATAAGTGGATAGCTTTGCTAAGAGATTATTTGATTTGGACAAGGGATCTTGGTTATTCTGGCCCCAATCCTTTTTCTCAGTTTGTCATACCTTCTGAGAAATGGAAATTTTTCCATCTTCCAAATTTAGCAAGCTTTGTTAAGAGCCCTTGTGGTGCTAAATATAAATAAAAACGTTAGTCCAATATCTCATGATGATGATCTAACGCTAGTCCCAGATTGTGGGACAAAAGTAGCCAAGGTGATACTAGTTTCTTGGACCAGCCTCTTCTGATGAGTTTGCACAATTTTATGAATTACAAAACTCCTTTTTTCATTCTCCTTAAAATCCCATCACTTGATTGAAGCTTCTTTCCCCCTTTAACCTGAACGCGAGAACTATGGGAAGTTCTTGTGTACTCTCACCAGCAGTAGCTAGTCCAGTCAACACCTTCTGCCCACTAGGTTTCTCCAGTCAGCTCTGATCATTATTACCTAAGAGATAACAATAATAGTTAGAAGCTCTGCTCATGCCCTGTGAAAAGAGAGGTGCTGCAAATCTGGAAGCAATTCTCATTCAGCTCAACTTTTCAGCTGGACATTGTTTCAAGGCAAGAGCTTGTGCCGCATTATTTAGCACTAGGGTGTTGAGCTGTAAAATACCAGCACACAGTGCAACTGCTCTCTGGATTCAATGGCTACAGCAGTAACTCCTTGTCTTGTAGAGTGATGCTTCTGACAGAGCGAGACAGACAGACAGACAAGCCTGTAAAAGATATGATGTGCAGGAAAGGCACAGCCTCCATTCTGAGCCGCAATGATCCTTTTTTTTTCCTTTTGCAAATTATTTTGATAAATGTTTGTAAAAGTTGTTCAGGTGAGAGAACCTACATGCAACAATGTCTTTTTAGAACTCGTAGGCATGATTCTGCAGATGTCTTTTGTAACTAACACCAATGGAAAGGGACCCGTTTTTCTGCTGCCATGCACAAAAGGAACAGGGAACTCTCCTCGGGTTTTATGGCTCTTCCTTTTGATTTCCTTTATGGATTCCCTTTGCAAACTTTGCCACCTGGATCCAACCATAGTTGTGGGCCCACAGTTAACATGGCATGTGTCTCACAGTTCCTCAGGGGACGCCTCCCACTCTCCCTGAGCAGGAACTGTTGCAGTTGTCTTGCTGTTAACAAAATAAGATTGTATCCAATTTTTTAAAAATGATTTTCCTTTTGCGATAAGCTTTCTAACCTGCACTTTGAGGTCTTCTTTGCTTTCACTTTTAAGTTTTTAACTACAAGGATTTTTATTATTGTTCCTTTACCAAGTTTAAACTTCTTTTTTTAGAGACCTCATTTATGACACTTGTTTGAGACTTAAGTAATTTGCCTACCCCGTAATTACTAAGGGAAAAAAAGAGAAAAAGAGAAAAAAATGCTTTATAAAATTCATAACTTATTGCTGATTATAATTATTGGGTTGTTAATTTCAGTCCTGTAGATTTTTAATTTTATTATTCTTTAGATAGGGCTGGGCGACAAAAAACAAAAAAACAAAAAAAACAAGGTAACCTCATTTAGCAGTGCAGTGGAATTGTGTTTAAATGTTAGCATATGGTTCTGCTTAATAGTAGCACTTTAACACCATTAAACATTTCTGTATCTGAAATGCACTGTGTTCTGCCATTTTGGTCACTCATGATAATATTTTAGAATTCCCATGTTCTTGTGCCTGGAAGTTTTTTTAAAAACCTATTGGCCATGTGATTAGATGACCCCAAATGACCTCTCATGTAGATCTTGTCTTGATACTGATATGCTGCGTGTATGTTTGAACCCACATGTTATCCATTCACCCCAGAGCTATTACTGTGTCATATAATACAAGACACAACTTTAGAACCTGTGTCATGAAATAGAAGCATAATCCCACCAAGGTTATAGTGTGTTTTATAGAGCTGGGGTTTTTTATTTTTTATTTTGTTTGGTAAAGCCTGAATCCAGTTGTTGTTCTACATTAATCTTCCCTAGGTGACTCTATAAACATTCTGGTTTACTGCATGTGGTACTCTCTCCCTCTAGTGGCTGGAATAAGAACCCATTAGTTGTAGTTAATGGGAGTAAAACGTTCAGCTGAACCAGTAGCAACAACTTTTATAGTACTGAGGTCTGTTAATTGGCCCATTATCTGCATGTGTGAAGCTATAGCGTCCCAGCACAATTCTTTGGGGCTGTCAGAATGACTGGCGAGAACTCAAAATGAGCCAAAATTGTAGTACTGAGTTGTGTGGGTAGCCTTGGTTTGTGATTTTGCAGACACAAAAATCTGTCCCACTGACATCCTTTGAGTCCATTTCTGATCACAGGAGCTCATGTAGCAGAGTACATGCTTTGAAGGTAAAAGGAGTTGAGTTCAAACCCTGACATCTCTGGTTGGAAATTTTTTTTTAGAAGGACTAGAAAAAAGATGAGCCTGGAAAGTTGCTGTCCAGATGTTGAATACTGATCTGATTTAAGTGCTGTTATGTGTCAAGATCATGTAAAAAATAATTAGATGGGAAGGACGGACAAGTCTCTTTATGCATTACTTTGTTGAAGGGGTAACATGACTGTTCCTGGACTCTCTTGAAGAGTGTTTGGGGAGGAGGAATTTCCTAGCTCCATAGATTCCCAGAATGATTTAGAATGTTGGGGAGGTTCTCTCCTTCAGAAGTTATTCCACAACAAGGCACCAGGAAGAGCTGTGTGTGACCTTTGGGTTAGAGCTAGACACACAACCTCCCTTTGTATAATAAGTAACATATAAAAAAGATTCTACCTACACTAAATTCTGCACAAGCACAATATAAACCTAGAGGGTCTTTGAAGTGTTGCTCTAGAATCACATATAACAGTTTGTTGAAGAGCCACTGCAACAAGGTACAACAGGCTGAATATGTATGTTATGTTAGCCATTCTATTTTTTTTAAAAAAGAAAAGGGTACGTTTGCGTAATAGAGTCATAGTGATAGCCAGAAAGCAGCTCAAACTTCAATATAACAGCTAGAAAAGGCTTTATTTCCCCATGTTCGTCATTAAATTGAATTTATATCTTGAAATTTCCTCTTGTTCCTTACACTTGAGATACATTTATATAATCTTCTCCCCCTCCCCATGTCTAATTTGTAATGTGACCCTATGCTTGTTTGCTCAGAAGTCACACTGTGTTCAGTGGTGTTTCACTTTCAGATAAACATGCCTATATCTGTAGACAGAGACCCAAAAGTTAAATGTGACTTTGCATTTGGCATACAGCTTGCATCAGCTGCAGGAATGGGCCATTTCCAAAACTGGTAATCCCATATAGGTGCATCACCAGGCCTTGAATGGCTGGGAAATTCTATTCACCCAAAAGCTAATGAACATAAAAAGGCTAAACTGACTTCATTATCACCAAGACTGTTGACATTCATGATGCTTACTGAGAAATATATCAGTCCAGGTTTGTCTTCATCTTGGTGAAAGCTCTTATTTGAGGTATTTGTCACTGTTAATGCTTGTGTGGGTAATGCCAAGAATGGATGTGTACCTTACTATATCCAGAAGATGCGCAAGAGTTATGTTTGTTTTCTGCCACCTAGGAAATGATGGACATAAGCAACCACTAGTGAGGTTGCTAGTGTCTATGTTTATTCTCTCTCTAGGATTAGGCATGGATATTTCCAAACCTTGCTATAGGAGAGCCATATTCCTGGAGATGCGGGGATTGAACTTTTTCCATGCAAATCATGTGCCCTATATCTGAGCTTTTTTGAATGTGATGAAAAATGGAAGCAGCAGCTGTACATGCATGGCCACTTTTCCCTGAACAGTCTTGAGTGAGGCAACTAGACAGCACTGAACTTCAAACTCATGCAATGTGATGGACTACATGACTTGGAGCACGCTATGGCACTTCAGTTCAAAGACAGTAACATACTAGTGGAATGGGCTTATATGGGCAATAACAACTTACAGTTAATTAAAATTCATGATTCTCAGAAACTTGAAACCCTCTTTTGTTGTGACTTCATCTTTTGCTCTTCAGACTTCATGCACTGAGGAGCTGGAAACTGCAGTTCCATTATAACATGATTGGTCATGCAACACAAAAGTGGGAAAAGGGTTGTGAGTTAAAGGAGATTTAACCAATGTGAACCAATGATCTTAGCTTCCAGAGGCAGAGCACCAGGACCAGTTGACGTACCATGGTCTGCATCAGATCAATGGCGTTAGAGAAACTGGCCAATGTTGGAGCCAACTGAAAGTAGCAGTTGTTACTGTTCACTCTTCACCTATGGCCTAATCCTTAGCCATTTTACAACGCTGTAACAACTGGCCTCCCTGGTGCACAGTCTACACCTGCCATCATTAAATTACGCCACTGGAAAGTTCTAAATAGCAAGATAATTTACAAAAGAAGGAACACTAAAAACAGAATCGTCAACATCAAGAATTGTTCATTTTTCTCCTCTCTAGCCAAGTTGCAAATAATTTTTTTAACTACTAAACACTATCCACTATTTCTCTGTTCAGCTGGTCAAACCAGTGTGGGTATATATAAGCCAGTGTCAGAACTATTTTTTTTTAAATGCTAAAGATCCTTTTAGAAAAACAGGAAATTTGGATGTAAATGCTACTAAAATAGCTATGAATATCTATGTCCTCATACTTCAGATACCACTAGCATTTACGTAGTTTGCCCCCACCCCTCTTGATTCCTTGTAGCACAATATGATCTTGGTTTTAGTATATTACTCTATTAACAACCACTGCATACAGAAGGAACCTGCTTCTATGACTATAACAGGACTAAAGCTCAGGGCCAACTCAGATGATCACTGTACACAAAATAGCTGGGGGGGGGGAGAGAGAGAATGCACAAGCGTTCTACACTGGACTAACCTTCAGCTCAATACTAGGCAGAGGATCCAGCATCAGGAGTTCAAGAAACAATGGTTACTGCGGCATGCCAAAAGCTGAATGCTGCATGTGGCTGTGGGTGTATAAGACAAGCTGCTAAGGAAAACGGCAGGATTTTCCAGTAGCTACTATTGCGAAACTTCTACGTGTGTGAATCAACCTTCAGCTCCTTTCCTATTTTCTGTACATTTAAGATAGATATTTAAGCAAAGTTACTTACCTGAAGTGGCTACCTTCCTCACCCACCCCCAAATGCAAGCTACAGTAGCATTGTACAGTTTCACAAATACACAGCTATCCTTAATTTCTGTTACAAAAGCAGCAGGGACCAAGTCATACACAAAGAGTTCAACAGGCTGGTCATTTGATTACAGTGGGCTCAAGCATGCCAAACACTCTATTATACCGTGGCTAAAATCTCCAGTCAAGTAAGTGTAGCGGCATTACTGCTCCTAATGCTCTGCAAGATTAACTTGTCATACACAAACAAAAAACAATGAAATCTACAAGGCTATGTAGGATTTGAAGAGCTGAACAGTAAAATCAATTACTGAATCCAATGTGGAAGACACACATCAATTCAGACATTTGCTAGATAGAAAAATATCAGCAAGTCCTGCTAGAAATTTTACAGGAGCTAGAAACTTAGCAGGCGCTCCAACACACAACAAAATATTGCATGTCAGGAAGCTGAGTGTAAGTTATATACCCTTCCCTATAGGGACTTCAGCTGACCCCCTAAGGGAGGGACCAACCAGGTTGTGCAACATGATGCTCCAATTGGCAGTAACTAGGGGGTGTATTCAGGCAGGTGTTTCCTGCATAGCAGCTCACTGCTTGTTGCAAACTGCCAGAACAGATTAATCCCTTTTTTTGAATGAAGAACATGCCAAATGAAGGCAAGCTAGCCCTTTATATGCATAAAATGCCTTACCCATTATAAAAACATGATTCAAATTCAACCCAAATAAGTAATGATAGGGCTCCTCCACAGAGAAAATGTGCTTCTCTGGAGATATTTCTGATAGTGCTCTTGTTGGAATAGGCTGATGTCCCTATTCAGCACCTATTGACATGGTACATTAAATTGTTTTAAAATCACAACAGCTAAGAAAAAAATGCATTTTTTCATCAATCACTGTTGTGCTACGTAGCTCTTGGATTTTAAAATGTCACAGTCTTGCGGTATATAAACAATCCTGCTACTGATCTTGCAAGCCTAGCCATCGCAGAATGCAAAGGAAATTGTAATTCAAGCATGACATCTCACTTTGCAATTCTCAAAATGTTTTCCTAAACTTAGTCTTCTGCAGCTTCTATTACTTTGCTATTTTAAAAGAAAAGAGTTACTGCAGTGTAATCTTGCATAGGATTTATGTTTGCAACTATTATATTCTAATGTAAAATGACTACAATACAGGTCTTTAAACCCAGTAAGTACATTTTATCTTCAATCACATTAACCAGTGTCTGATGCACAAAATTAGGTTTGTGCCATTATAATTTTTCCCAGCTGTTAAAAAAAATACCAGCAAATCTGTTTCAGCCTCTACTGAATTATGGGTTTCCTTTGTAATTTGTGTATTAAAGGGGGAAATGTACAGTGCTATGTTTCTATATAATGATACTGCACTGGTCTAGGAATGCAATTCCGTGTTTAAACAGATATGTATCCTCTTGACAAATATTTTTATGCGCAAGTTTATTTTTAAGATTTCTGTTATCACTATTTTGCTTCCTCTGAGGTTTCCTGAACTTTGATGCAGTTACTCTAATGGTGCTGTAGCCAACTGCTACTTGAGGAACTGAATGATAAAACCCCCCAACCAATCCATGATTGGTGCTTAAATTGACCAGCGCCAATCGTCAAAACAATACTGAAACAGCATTATCTATAGTGGTGCAGGGATGGTGCTGACAAAGATGTTACATTTTCCATCATTGTAAACATTATTCTTTTGTTTATGGGCATCTATATAAACTTGTTTAAAATATACAAATAAATTTTATGAAATTTTATTTCTAGTAAGATTTGTTACCCTTTTCTCTTCCCACATCGCTAATGAAAAAAATTAATACTAGTTCAGTTGTCAAACTGCTGCAACAGCATAGCTCCATCTACGTTGATGGCTTACCTAGTCTACTGAAAATTGCAGCCCAGTTTTCCATACAAGTGCACAAATCTCCTGCAGTAAGTTAAAAGAACAGTAGGCTCTGCTGCACTGGCCTCCAGCTTTACCTGCTTTGAAAAGAAGTGAAATGCTTTCCCATAGGAAAGTTAGCTATTCAGTCACAACAAACAACAGAATCAAGATATTAATCCTGGCAGTTTCTCATCTCAGGACCCAAATATTCAGAATTTGAATGATCAGCTTCAAGGACAACTGAAAATCCTGCCTCAATATGCATGTCTTCCTAACAGGTAAACTGTCATCAATCATCAACTCCTACAATTCTGACCATATTACGTAATTTCATACCAGTTTTAAATTTTTTCACATTTTTAGATTCTTTGGAACAAAGCCAAGAGGTTTTGAATTCTTTATTTTAATAAAAGTTAAACATACAAAACTGAAATCAACACAGTCATAAAAATTACCTCCTCCTTTTGTTAACAAGAAGAACCTCTCTCTATGGATGGATTCTAAGCTACTAGATATGGATTTTAGGCTCAAGTAAACTGTCAGACATTTACACTAATCAGTGCATCAACAAATGCTGATGGTTCCTGATCTTATTTAATTCAGAAAACAAATTACAAAAGGGAACTACAACAACATAATATACATGGGAAATGGAGTTCAGATTAATGAGCAAGAATTACTCTTGTACGAGAAATAACTAAATCCAGTCTTGTTCATTAACTTAACACCATATTTTACAAAAATAATTATCTACACTGTATACAGGGCTATACGTTAACTTTTTGTGTCAGACACATTTCAAGATTGAGAGATAGACTACAACCCTAAGCAATACGTATGGCAAAGGGAAGCAATTGCATCCACAAGATACAAATAGGCCTGGACTTTTACACATGGTTTCCCAAATAAAATCAAGGAGGGCCAGCAATACTAACGTAAGTTAAACCTTGTAAGAGGAACCTCCTGTTGCATTTAAAAAAGCTGGATAAGCACACAAAAAATTCAGCACAATGCAGGTGACTTGCCATATTTACCAACATAAACGCACTGAGTAATTCTCAAGAGGAATAACTATTTCTATATGTAACATTTGACTCTTTGAACACTTAAAAGTGCTAATCAAACCTGCAAAGTGACTGAATACATCTTAGGAAGCCTACAGGTAGGTTCTCAAGACCTATAAATCAAAATGTTCTGCTCCTGACAATAAATATGCTTACCTGCTTGGCACTAGCAAGTGCTTTTTTTTTCTTTCTGGTGAGAACCTCCACCTTCTTGAGCTGGGAGAAGGATGGTGGAATCTTCAAGACTTTGGATAATACCCAACTAAGTTAAAGCAGACCCCCTGATTTCAGTGGGTTTGCTCCAAGTATGAGTTGAATATCACCCCTTGTGTTGAATTCAGAGATTCCCCTAGTTTTTCTCCATACTCAGAAGAGGGCAAGAGAAATCTACATCAATTTAAGATGAGCCTTGGGGGGAAGCAAGACGTCCTGCTGCTTTCGAAACAGTGCAAGATCTGGGGGTTCCTTCCACCACCCTCCCAACCTTGCAGAGATTTTGCAAAGTGGGAAAACAGCAGTGTATCTTCCTGCTTTTCAAGGATTTTCTGAGGCTCAGTGTGACAGAGACAAGCCCCTGGTTCTACCACTATCCAGCCTGGACTAGGGGAAAATGACAGGGACATGCCCCTGAAGTCACACTAAGCTTTAGAGCATCTCTGAGATTTCATGTCAAAGCTCACTCCCTTCTCCTCAGTTGAGTCAATCATGAGCACAAATTTTGCCTACCAAGACCAGTCTGTTTCTGGCTTATGAATCATTAACTGGAGATTAGATGGCCCAGATTCATTACAAGCCAAGGAAGCAGATGCAGATTGTGATCAACTAACAATTGACTTTCAAAATAGAATAAAATCCAGAGAAAGTCATCATAATTATACTAGTTCTGCAGGAGTTACAGTGCTTAACAGCTATCCTGCAATAAGATGGCAGGCCTGTAAGCACATAAGAGGGAGCAAGGAAAGCTGGGATAACTATTTTATTTCACGACCATTTGTTTGATGGCATTCCCAACTAATGCTATAGGGATGGACACTTGAGAAATCAGACACTTCAGGATACTGCAAAGGGCATTTCTTCAACACAGTCTGACGTGTGCACATTTATGCAATTTACATCTTTAAGAGCAAAGGGGTCATCTGAACAGCTATTACCTTGCTTAAGGCTTGTACCAGCATAAGCCAACTGATGTCAACAACCATTTTCACTATGCGCCAATAGTTTACTTTTAGAAAAATAGAACAATAAAAAGGTAAATGTAAAGCCCTGCAGAAGTGATGTTAAGTCATTTTCTCCCTCAATTACTGGGGCATCAAATGTCTGACATTGTACTTGGATGTATCTTGGTACTGTGTCATGGGTTTGTCTGCAATTCCACACGTTCCAACTCCAACCTTCCCTGTTACGCTCTCAGGAGAAGCAAAGATGCTTCGCTTTACCTGTGGAACAAATTAAAAGCACCAATTGTAACATTTTCAAATTTCAACAAGTCAGCAAAGGAGTGCTAATATCAAATGTTCACATGCATCATTCAAAAAGCAAAATACAACTACATTTTATTGATCATTAAACAGGAACCTTTAACAAAAAAGCTGTAATTGGAAATGAAGCACTTCTGCTCTGGTCATGGCACTCAGCAAGTCCTATTTTCTCCCAGTGAACCACTACAGTTCTATAAGGGTCCTTTCAATGCACAAAGAAGGGCTAAAGGAAAACAAAACCTTTTTTGCCCCTATAGCTATAAACTTCATAAAGTGTCACCAGCCTCAGTTGCCTGAAGTGTCTTCTGCATGCTCTGTTAAGGGTATCTTTACAATGTGGTGCTTATTAATGTTTTTCCTTTGCCACCACCACTCAAAATAATTTAGCATGCAAACAGCACACACTAAAAACCTAACTCACATATCAATGGGTCAAACAGAGTGCGAGTTATATTTGGCAATACCAAACTCGAGAATATGAAACATACAAAGAGCTTTGTACATTATGGCAGCCTAAAAGCATCATAGTGCAAGCAACTATGCCACAAGCTTTATAGCATGAACTTTTAACTTTACAGGTGCTACTATTGGAACGGTTGTTATCAGAAATCTGTTGTTCAAACACAAAGAATTATACTCAAACTTTGCTACAGAAATGGCTGATTCAGATATCCAAACAGCTGGAGTTTGCTCATGTCCTTACTTGTTTGTGCTTTGCTGGTCACCAGCACCCATTTTGGGCAAAAACCATAGAAGGGAGAGTCATCAGACAAATCAGATATCCCTTTGTCTGGCTTTTGCTTATTGGCTGCAACAGTCTCAGGCAGAAAGCATGGATTAGAAATGTTTCCATAGGAAATAATGGAAATTGCGAATGCTTGCCTAGCGAACAATTTCCTGGAAATGCATTGTGCTCAGAAACTGGGACCTGCATGCATATCCATTAGTTTATCCCACCCTATCTGCAGGGACTCAAACTAAGTGTAGTGATATTTAACAATACAGTGGTACCTTGGTTACAAACACCTCGGGTTTCAGACTCCGCTATCCTGGAAGTAGTACCTCGGGTTAAGAACTTTACCTCAACATGAGAACAGAAATCGCACGCTGGCAGCGCAGCAGCAGCGGGAGGCCCTATTAGGTAAAGTGGTACCTCATGTTAAGAACGGTTTCAGGTTAAGAATGGACCTCTGGAATGAATTAAGTTCGTAACCAGAGGTACCACTGTACGTTAAGAATATTATAAACAGATCTCTCCCATTGTATAATCCAGAAACAAACAGCTTTGCCTATAATATTATTTTGTCTTTGTCTGGGGGATTACTCCTGTGCTGCCATACATTTAACACTGCTCTTCTTCAGCAAGAAACCTCTATGAGTAAGCTACTAATGCAAGTATATACAAACCTGGCCTTTTTTGTTTTTTGAATAAGCTCTGTTGTTGAACTGCTGCCATTTGACTTTCTGGTCCTCTCGCTCTTGTTCCAGTTCTTTGATTCGCTGGGCCTTTTTCAAAGCTTTCTTCTTTTTATATTCTCGTTGCTGAGCAATCATTTCTTTTCTAAAATGAGAAATGGCACTGAAGGTTACTTATGTACCTCAGTTTCCTCTTCAGAAAGTCTAAGGGCAGTAATGTGTCATGGCAAGGTGGTTGCTATACAATCAGGGCAAATTTTCACAAAACATCAAATATGAAGAGATTAAGCCGAGGTGGTTAATTCTGAGTTATCAATACTGCCTTACATCCACATCTTTACCCACCAGAACTGCCTTCTTTTTACAACACTGGCAGTTCAGCCACAGTATATGGCAATGGTTTTGTATGGGCATTACATCTACATTGCAACCAACTGGAAGCCCCACATCACCTTTGCTTTAACTTCACTTTTGTTCTCAGAACATGTAGATAAAAGCAAGGATACACTGATTAAGAGAGTCTCACCTTGGGCTAGGTGAATGTAAAGATAAACTCTCAGTACAATGGGGCTTCAGCTGTCCAGGCCCATTTCATTCTCCAGCTGTAGAAAGTGCTGTCATTCCTTCTGTAAAGCAATCTGTGCATTGCAAGTTTCAATAAAGCACAGCAATCCTACTTTCATGCACTACTACGAATAACGGCTCTCTTTCAGAAATCAGTTGAAACTAGCTAATGTCTTGCTAAACACAGAGCAACTCTAGCTCAGAATTTGTCCCAGGGGAAATATACTACTACATAGGCATGGAGCAATCATTTTGGAGTTCATGAGACTAACCAACTCCGCATGATAAGCATTAAAGTTAGTAGCACAAACCAGAACACCTTCATCATAATCTCAAACCACTATGTATATGTTCACAGTAGGGGATAATTTAAGAACTGCATTTTTAAGAACTGACCTAATTCACTCCATATATTTCAATCCATATTTAAATATTCTTTTTCATTTGGATTTTAAAAAAAATCACAGATTAATGTGAAATTGGAAGGGACCTATGAACAAGCACAAACAGAACAGAAACTGACACATTTGACCATCCCTAGTTCTTAGTACCAGTTCAGTCCTAAAATGGCAAAGACTGTTTTGGGCTTTACAAGTTTCCCTAGGTTGGACCTCTAAAATTGGGGCAGCGAAGCCCATATCCTAAGGCATTATTTAATTTGGGGGGAGGGAGAATAGACAATGTGCATTACCTCTTTCCCAAATCTAGGGTAACTACGCAGAGTATGGTTCAATAATATCTAAGGATAGTGTTGACTTCTATGACTTTTTTGCTGTAAAATCACCTTTGGGAAGAGATGATTCATCAGCAAAGTAGCCTTACAGCTCTTCTTCTTGCTATATGACACACTGAGCCAACTGAAAACTGTTTCAGCCACTTACTTGGACATGGGTTTGTTGCCACTGTCTTCCTTTGCTTTCCTTCCCTCTTCCACAGGTTTCAGATTGAGCAGGGGTGTGACTTCAGCATTGCCATATCCCGAAAAGGTGACTGCAGCTGTGCCATTCTCTTCATCTATCTCTTCAATTTCAGCTTCATAACACCTGTAAAGATATCATGGCTGTAAGCATGTGAGTAATGGTTTACAACTCAACCCTACAAAACTTGTATTTGCAGTGATTAATATTAATATTAAGTTTCAGGACATTCCTGCTTCATTTTGGATTGGCATTTCAAGTCAAAACTCTTAAAACATAAATTCTGTTCAAGAATTGTCAGGTGCCTAGCACACAAACTAGTTACAATCCTAAAGTCCAAGAGCTGGTTAGTCAACTGATTTGAAATAAACTTCAGTTTTGAACCTTTTGTTACCACATATATATTTTCACCTTCACACATTTAACCTGACTTTTGTTTGATTTTGTGAGAACTAATTTGTTTAAGAGAATCTGGAGGATTCATGTTTGGCTGTTTTATAATTTGTACTAATTTTCACCCCCACAAGAGGCATTCAGCCACAATACCCATGTATTTCGAAGTTCTATGGGACTTACATCTGAGGAGATATGTATGCATAGGATTACAATGTGAGATTGTAATTTGACAGAGGTTTCACTGCCTTCATATAATCTCCCTCTCTGAAAGCAAGCAGTGAATTACTAACGTAAGAAGATGGATTAAGAAAAGCATTAAGCAATGTAGGGTTTGTGACAGCAACTTAAATGAAGATAGATAATCAAGGTAATTATCTATTTTTCTCAATCACATCACCTGATACTCAAAAGCAGTACATCCTGAAGTAAACTAAGTGGAATGTCTGGGCCCAGGCATCTCAGGGGCCTAAATGGAGAAGCGGAAGGCCATGGCAAGAAAGAGACCCCAACCTTGCAGAAAAAGAACTGCTGGTTGTCTTCTTCCCATAAGGTATTAAAAAATATCTCTACCAGCAGAAGGCAGGTCAAAGGCAACAGGACTAGGAGAAAATGTGTTGGTTCACACCATCACTTTCTGCTGTCAGCAAATCATACCAAACAGAATGTCTCTGAGGGGTTTACTGCTGCATCCCACTTCAGCAAAGACCAAGGTGAATTGAATTTCTTCTGGTGGAGGCCCATTACTGATTCACTTTGGAAATGTGCAAAAGGATACACCCTAGTGGTACATCACTATTTGTGAAGGGAGCTCTAAATGTCTTTATTCAACCCTCTTAAAATATTTGCCTGTGGATAGTTTTGGGAAGGATGTTAAATACCCTGCTTTATATTCCCTTACCACCATGTCTGGATGGGTGCAACAACCACAGATCCTCCCAAAAGCAGCAGCCTTCTACACGTACACAATTGTGAGCAAGGACCTCTGCTTTCTCTAAGCCCATTCCTGCCCCACTTCAAAGAATAAATTTACAGTACAGAAAAGGGGGAGGAAGCAGTGGAAAAGTTTGCTGCCCTATACTTCTTTCCCTACTGCCACCTCAATGGTTCCCAAGTATCTTAACACAATCTCAACAGAGCTCCAAGTTTTGAAGTAAATGACATTCCTATTAACATTTTCAGATTAGTGATGAAATGTATACACAACAGATTTCAGTTACTGCACACCAGATTTTTCGAAGGTGGCAAATTTTAAAAGATATTAGAAGCCATATTATAGTCTACAACGTTCTAGTCAAATTAAACAATTAAAACAATGGACCTAGCTCTAAAGTTTAATATATTTTGTATTTGAAAAATACAAGATCCAATCAATGATTTTTACTGAACTGGTGCTCAGCCAAAGAGGAGAGTATAAACCAAAGGGAAGTATCTTACCATGGAACTGTATTATTTCATGTAACTGTTACAGAAGTTTGTTTCTACACTTACTGTCCATCTTCACTCCATATTGCCATACATCTGTCTCCAACCTTCCATGTGTGACTTGGAGGAGCAGAAGCAGAACTGTCAGAACTTGCAAGTGTTTCTGAAGGTTGTGTTGAAAGAAGGTCTTTGGTTAATTCTATAACTTCCTGGGGATGGAAAAGAACAAGTCGTCAAACACAGTTTAAGTAGTCTCACCCCTGCCCATGCATGAAGACTATTTACCAACTGCAGTATTGCTGGCAAATGGTAGCAGACTGAACAACACATGAAATCTGTCCGCGTAATTTACTAAAGGTTTTTCTATAAGCTTTGGGAATCTGGTTTCTTAGCAAGTATCTAATACTACTCCCATAGCTCATCCCAATTTTAATATTGGGGGAGGGCAGCAAGGAAATTTCTCGTTTGCATTCTCCTCTTTGCATTACAAATGAATATGATATTTAATGGAAGAGTAAAAAGTAGACTGCAGAAAATGATACACAACTACAGAATGGAGTTTTCTGCTCTCCTTCCAGTGATAAAGCAAGTATTACTGAGACTTTTAAAAAAGAAAATTATTGAGCAATGAATGCACTGGCTAGTGGAAGAAATAGGTTTTTCAGCAAGTTTTCTTGTTTGAATACTGAAAATTGTTTGAATACTGAAAAACTGTACTTATGTGAGAATAGCCCACTATACACAAACCAGATACAAAGAATGAACGCATACAGAAAATACTTTTCTTTATAAAATACATATGAGCGAGGACTCAGTAGTTTCCTGCATATGTTTTTTGCTATTTAGAGATTATAAAGAAAACTATTAATAGGCTATAGCTACAGGTAATTAATTACATGTATTTTAGATTTTTAAATCTACTGGATTGTATCCAATACTGTTGTCCCACTTGTGCAACAGAACTTCTCTTTCCTTTCCTCTCCCTTGTACCCACTCAAAATCTGTTCCAGAAGGTTGGGGTAGCCTCTGAAGCAGATTTTTGGGATATCCAGGGAAAGGAGAGGAAGGTAAAACACATAACACATTGTTATCAAACTAATTTCCCTCATCTACTTTTTCTTCCTTCCTTCCTTCCGCTTCCCTTCCCCTCCTCTTTTTCTCTTGTCCCTTTAATTTGTAACCATGGGCCGGGCCTGTGCATCATTCCATTTAGGCAGTAAGCCTGCCACCATCATTGAACTTTTGATTTGAGATGAGCTTCTCTGAGAGACTGTATCTGCCTGAAAGGTGGAATAAAAATAGAACAAATTTTAACAAGAAAAGGAATAATTTAATACATATGCACCTTTCATATCTGATGCGATTAAGACTTGTCTTTTGTCCTCAGATATTGGCAGCTGAACAATAAGCTTGTAAAAGGCTGCTCTTACATGTAGAAATGGCAAAGAAAACATGAATGAACAAACAGACCATATGACAAATTCATTTGCAAAATACAGTCTAAGAAGAACAAAGAGCTAGAACCACTGATGACTGTTTAGTGCTTGCAAGGCACACCTGAGTCATATACTAAAGATAACAGCACACATAATAGTGCATTATCTAGTATTCTAAATTTGTTTCCTAAAAGACTCTAGTTTACAGTGTTTTTCAAAAAGCAAAACTCAAATGAACACACAGATTAACATTTACTCCAGGACAGTGCTTTTTAATTTGTGGTAATCATTCCACCTGGCTTAATGTAAAAGATTACAAGTTTTTTAAAAAAGCATTTAGAGATCAGTGTTAAAGTACCAGTATTAAAAGACTGCATACAGCACTGAGCAAAATATAAAAGTACGAGGTTCTATTGATTAACCAGCTACATTAACCCATTAAAACTTTTTAGCAACTAAAAAGGTGCCCCAATTGACTGAGCAGAAGGTTCTTAAATATACATATTTTCGGCACACAAGCACTCATAAAAATTGTGGGTGGCAAACACCATCTTTAAAAAGGCATTTTTTCTCACGCACAAGCAAATGCCTTTTCTGAGATAATAACTCTTACAATTCACATGTGAATCGTCTGAAAACAAAATGGCTTATTTGTTCATTTATTTCAGGGGTCAACAAACTTTTTCAGCAGACCCCTCAAACCTTGTGGGGGGGCCACACTATTTTTTTTTTGGGGGGGGGAGAACGAATTCCTATGCCCCACAAATAACCCAGAAAGGCATTTTAAATAAAAGCACACATTCTACTCATGTAAAAACACAAGGCAGGCCCCACAAATAACCCAGAGGTGCATTTTAAATAAAAGGACACATTCTACTCATGTAAAAACATGTTGATTCCCAGACAGTCTGTGGGCCAGATTCAGAAGGTGATTGGACCGGATCTGGCCTCCGGGTCTTAGTTTGCCTACCCATGATTTATTTGACTTATATGGCCCCCTTCATCAAAAGATCTCAGGGCAGTTTATTGCTTCAGAACTCTCATTTTTACTCAGGTGCATATTTTATGTCAATTTAATTGCTAAAAATTAATACAATTGAGATGCCTTTAATCACTTTAATGAGATGACAGCCCTAGTTCTTTGTGAAAGATTTTAAACCCCAACATTTAGCACATCTCGTTAATATCACCATAGTAAATTCTTTGACACTGACAGCGTAGAAGATCCTCTTCACTATACGTGTAAAAACATTTAAGTTACAAAGCCTTTTCTTATTCTCACCTGTAAGTCTTTTTTGAGTTTTAGTAAATCTTCATTTTCTCCATTTCCCGTCAAAGCAGCTTCAACTTGTTGGAGCTGAGCTTTATAGCTAGCTAACTGTTTTGCAAGGTCTTCTGACATCTGGAAAGGGAAAAAAGGCATTACAAAATACTGAGGGGAAAGTCTGTTTGAAAACAGTCTTGCAGAGGCAAAATACTTAGAATGCAAATAACTAATGACTTAGTGCAGCCTTATCAATAACAATATTTATTTAACTTGCCTTGGTTGGAAACTCCAGCTGGTCCACAGCAGGCTTCCCAAATAATGCCAGATTACCTTGGCAGTAATCAAGTTATAAGGTAGTCTCTTTTGTATGGTTTGTTCCCTTACTGCTGTGTTAATGTTACAATAACAGAATCGTATGGGGTAAGTAAACACCTGTTTCCACCCTGGGACACCTTATGTCCCTGCCCTATACCTTATGTCATATATTACATATGGTGGGAGACAGGTAAACTATGTTTGTTTTTTGCCCAAAGTAAAATTTGCAAGTAAAGGTAAAGGTAAAGGTACCCCTGCCCGTACGGGCCAGTCTTGACAGACTCTAGGGTTGTGCGCCCATCTCACTCAAGAGGCCAGGGGCCAGCGCTGTCCAGAGACACTTCCGGGTCACGTGGCCAGCGTGACAAGCTGTATCTGGCGAGCCAGAGCTGCACACGGAAACGCCGTTTACCTTCCCGCTAGTAAGCGGTCCCTATTTATCTACTTGCACCGGGAGGTGCTTTCGAACTGCTAGGTTGGCAGGCGCTGGGACTGAGCAACGGGAGCGCACCCCGACACGGGGTTCGAACTGCCGACCTTTCGATCGGCAAGCCCTAGGCGCTGAGGCTTTTACCCACAGCGCCACCCGCGTCCCCAAAAATTTGCAAGTACTGTACTACTAAGCTGTAGTTGATTTCAAGCCACATGGGTTAATGAAATAGGGATTACTGGCACTGGCAAGCACTAATTGGCAATACTTCCTTTTTAGATGTTTACATTTTTTTATTTATCTGTTGCTGTACACCACCCTAATGGTCCTGTTACTTAAAGGTAGCTTACAAATAGATTAAACATTCTGCGCATTCACAGATTCTCTGTTGTATTCAGTTTTCCAGAACACAGTCCTTGAGAAGTATTCAACTGTCCTCAACACAAGAGTCATTTTCAGCATCATATTGGACAACCAAACTCCTTGCCTGACCTTGACTAAATCCTTCTCTCTTAGCATTAGTTCCCATAAGGAAATTCACAGCAACACATGGGTTGTGTTTATGGATCTTCTGCCACAATTTTGTTATCTAGCCTTGGACAAACCTCTTTCCTCAGTCTTTGTCAAGGTGACAGATACAAGATGGTACAGATCACAGAGTGGGTGAGGCATGGAGCAGAGCTGGGGTGGAACTCTTGAGCATCACCCTAGTGCTCACTTTGGAAATATAAAAAATGAAAGCAATCCAAACACAGATCCTTTGTTAATACATAAGAACTATCCTAATCCTTTCAACACCAGGTGTGAAGTTTAGAAAACACTATCTGTACAGAATGAGCAAAAGCCAAATTTGGTAGGAATGGCTGGAATAGCACGTGACCTGACGTACTATTTTTCAGGGGATGGAAAGTATGGAAAGAAAATTCTGCATGCCAACACCATACTGTGGACAATACCCTCTTTATAATCACATTACACAGGATACAACCCGCCAAAAAAGGACTTGACTCCAATTAAAAGGCCATACGCCGAAAAAAGCCCGCAAAAGCGGTGCCATTAAAACCCAGCTGTCCTGCTACAAAGAAGCGGAGGTTTCGGGACAGAATGGAAGAGCCGAGACGGACCTCCCGTAAAATAAACAGTATAATCCTCGGAACACAGAAGGCGAATCTTGTAAGCCGACGAAACAGGCCTCCACGTGCGGGAAGCCCGCAGACAATGGCTGGCCGTAGACAAAACTTCAGGCGGCGGAATCACTGGGGACCGGGCGGAAGACGCGCCTGGGCCTGAGGGAGGGCCTAACGGAGGCCCCGGAGCGAGTGAGGAAGGGGCCGGAGGCCTGGAGAGCCGAGCGCCGTGTGCGGAGAGGGGAGGTCGTGACGGAGGGTCGAGGGCTGAGGAGAGCGAAGGGCCTCCCCGCCTTCGCCCCGCGAGAGGAGAGGGAAGTGGGGGAAGGGCCGCGCCTCTCACCTTGGCCTCGCGCGCCGAGGGCCTCTCTCCGTCCCGTCAGGCCTCAGGAGAAGCGGCTGTGCTCGCGCGCGCGCACCCACGCGAGATTTGACCCCCCTCCCGACCCCCAACAAACGTCGCCCCCTCCCTTCTTGCTGCTTCCTAGCGACGACGCAAAGAGCCCGGTCGGCGGAAATGAACGCTCGCGAGAGGGGGAAGCCGGACCTGACGAACAAGCCGGATCACATGACCACTCCGGGGGTGGGGAAAGCAGAAACCAAGAGGAGGATCGAAACCGATACTTCCGACTCCCAGTTGCGATTCCTTGGAATCCTCCATGTGCGGGGCGAGAGTGGCGGAAGTGCAAAGGAAGCCGCGTAATAAGTAGCGTTCGGCATGTGAGAGTCAACCCAAAAAACCCAAAGAGCTTATTATTTAAACTGATCGAATCTTCTAGGGGAGAATCGGAGCGGGATTTCTGTCCTTCTGAAATAATTATTTTGGCGGGGGGCACCGCTGCTTCTAACTGCCTTGTGCTCAGGTTCTCCTCGCTGGTTCCTCGCAGGCCTCTGGCTGGCCACTGTGAGAACAGGATGCGGGACTCGGTGGGCCATTGGCCTGACGATCCATTGGCTCATGCTTTGTTCTTGTTATGTACCTGGAAATAAGCCCTGTTGGATCCTAACGGAGCAAAACTCTTAATCTCAAGGTCATGAGTTTGAGCCCCACGTTGGGCAAAAGTTTCCTGCATTGCAGTGGGTTGGACTAGATGACCCTCACAGTACCTTCCAACTCTACAGTTCTATTATTCTAATATATAAGCCCACTGGCAGGTACAGCCTTATTTTAATTATGCAACCAAATCAGCCTGAACAAATTTAAAAAGGAAGGTAAAGGGGGCTTGGTTCCAAGGAAAAGGACTCTGGCAATCCCACCCACCATTGAACCCAGTGGGGTTTACGTCAGGGGTCAGCAACCTCCGGCCCATGGACCACAAGCAGCCCACGGGGGTTGTTTAAACAGCCCATGAGCTGCCCCCGAACCGAGCTGTCTGCTCGGCGAGTCCCCACGTACTGCGCTAAACCGGCACAGCACAGAGCGGGGACTCACTTCCACGGTGCCAGAAATTGCGTCTGCGCAGACGCGATCCAGCCCACACAGCGAGCTCCGTGAACCGGCCCAGGCGAGGTAAACCTTGCCGGCCCCGGCTTTACGTGATTTTGGCTTTAGGCGTGATCCCTGGAATGTAACCCCCATGTAAATTGCATACCCTCCAACACTTCTCTACTGAAAATAGGGACATTCTATTCTACATCAGGAAGCTTTTCCTGCGTTTGAGCTCTCGGCACACGTATCCATCATAAACACATATACACATTGTGGGACCACAATGCTAAGATTGGAGATAAGCTTCTGTCTGCTCTCACAACTTGAACTTTGAAGCACGTGTCAAAATGGCACTTGGAAAGTTACCCAGTCAGGATCTGCCCTTCTGTGAGATCCAGTATCCCACCCCTGGTGGAGACATTTCTGAGCAGGATGGACCACTGTTCTTATTCAAAATAAGGCAATCGTTTGTTATGACCCTGACACCATCCTCCAGCAGCCTCCATGCTATATACCAAAATCATCACCCAATGCTCCATACGGTTGTTGGTTTTTTGTGGGGAGGGGGGATGCAAAATACTTTTTGGATTAGATGCCTTATGTTCATGGTACTTAGGATTGTAATAAACATAAGTCTGCCCTTATTCGCTTATGGGGGACACAAGAGCCCTTATAGAGTCCTTTGTAGGTTCTCCATCGGTCAGAGAAAATAACAGAGGCCAACCAGAGAATATTGAGAAGCAAAGCAGCTAGTAAGACGATCTTTATTGACTGTTACAACAGGGTGCTCCCCTCACACACAGGAAAGAGGAGGACCCAGAACAAAGGTGTGCCCACCCTTATATAGACATTTTAAATTGCCCGCCCTGGAGTCCAAGACCACCCCCAGAAACATCATACATACATCACAGAAGGGGTGTAGCTCAAGGACCCCCCCCCCAACACAAAAATTCAAAAAACAAAAACACTGTTTTAAATATCACTTGTGTAAAACAACTTTTGAGTTTTTACAGCAGCTCATTCTTTTCTCTCCCCTGTCAATGTCTGTGCCAAGCACTAGATGGCAGCTCTGCTGCATTTGCACAAAACCTTCCCTCCCTCCCAGTTTCTTTGACTGTGCTGTGTGTGTATATATCTAATATAACTGAATGGAAATATATATTTCTAGGGGAAAGCAATTCATTTATGTTGACTTGGGGTGTGCTTAGCAGCTCCTTTTCTGTGTTACTACATTTCTTATTAAACTTTATTTTTACTAGATTACCCATCATCGTGCAAACACTCAACACCAACTATTGCAAATAAAATTAAGTTTATATGCTTTTAGGGCATATTTCAGGTTGCTCTTGTGGCATCTTTAATCCCTTGAAAAACTGCCTTGGCTGCCAAGCCAGAATGTCTGGAAAGATTACACATTCTTTGAATGAAGAAAGGTAGGCCAGTCATGCAAATAATTTAGAGGCAACTACCCATCATTTGGCACACACACCTGAACTGCTCCTTCCTTTCCTCATTGGCAAAGATTTGCCACTGGCCCCTTTGTCTTCTGTTCACCTCTAAAGGCAGAACCACTACCTGCTGTCCTTGAAGTGGAACCTGTGGCAAATGCCCTCTCAAGACACACTGGACCAAACCCGATGCACTTGTGTTTGGTTAAACACACGGTTTTTAGTTTGGCCATACAGGTCACATCCATCCCATACATTTAAAAGTCATTTATATCTCTTTAGAACTCTTTAGAACTCTAGCCCAACGGTTGCCATTAATTTGATTCAGAATTGATTTTAGAATGAATTGATTTTAGAATGTATTTCAATTAATTGATTGTGATTTTATGTAAACTGTGTTACTTTTGCTGTTGTTAGCTGCTCTGAGCCCAGCTTCGGCTGGGGAGGGCGGGATATAAATAAAAATTTTTATTATTATTATTATTATTATTATTATTATTATCATTATCATTATCATTATCATTTAACGGTCACAATTTCCCCCAAAGAAACCTGGGAGCTGTTCTTTACTCCTTACAGAGCTGCAATTCCTAGCACCCTTAACAATCCTCAGCAGTGATGGTGGAATACATAGAGCTTTAAGATAAGTTTGAAATGCGTCTGGAAATTTAGCTCTTGTATGACTGAAAAATCTACATAATCTTGCTTTTATCAAATAAAGCAGGTGGGGGAAATCATCACAACTAGAAACACATTGATGTATGATCACCAGCATAAGGGAACTGTTCTAGTGCTACTTTCCCAAAGACAAAAAGACCCAAACGCAACATACACAATCAGTTAAGAAATGCTTAACAAATTAAAACACTCATCCAAACATTTTCATTTTAATCCATGGGGCAATTTCACTGCAGACCAGGGTGATCAAAAGAGACTATTTCTGCTTTAGGCATTCATATTACAGAGCTGGCTATGACTAATAAACGAGTTACTTCCCACAGTGCTACTGATGACCAATTTGTACAGCTAAAAGGAACAAAGCTAACACAGGTCGTGCTCAACATAAAGCAAGCAAATCCCAGGAATGAGTCAGAGATTGTGCATGATATTTTACAATAAATGAAGGGAACGGGCAGAACCACTTTTCTTGTGTACATAAAGACAATGGAGCATAAGGAACAGCTTGCATTGACATTGTTCACTTTGCGGTGATGGGGTTTTTTGTTGTTGCTTAATTGAAATGGTTTCTATCAACTTGTGTGTGTTCTTGCATACACCCTGTGTAAATCTATTCCTCAATAGGTAAAACATAATTGGAAAAGAAGAAATAAATTTATATGAGAATAATATTAATAATTCAAGATTGGCCCGTACGGGCAGGGGTACCTTTACCTTTAATATTAATAATAAAAGATCAATAGGCCAACTAGTCAAGGACATGGAAATACAGGTATTTCCCATTTCTGTTGTCCAAATTTAAAGTTGCATCTAGTTTTCTGATGACCAGGATCTTGAATTCTCTCAACCAAGCCAACTAGGCTGCAGTTTTTTTCCAGAATCACTGGTTTTAGTTAGTTAGTTAGTTCGTTTCTTTAATTCAGCTTAATTCAGCTAAGTTTCTGTTTAATTTATATTGTTCGCCCACTGTCCCTTTTTCTTCAGCTTATGATAAGGTTTATTGGCGACCATCACTGATATGAATCCTGGCATAATTTTTGCATGGGGAGTTGGTAGGCAAATGTGAGGGATAGGTGTCTCTGGTTTGTATCCAAAGGACTGTGAGTGAATGGGGAAAATACACTGTTATGTACTGAGCTGAATAGGATCCAAAAGGCAGCAGTCTGACTGGTCCTAGAACAATAGGATTCAGAATGCAGCAGTCTGATTTGTCCTAGAACAATAGGATCTAGAATGCAGCAGTATGATTGGTCCACAGGAGCCACCCAATCCAGCTCCAGGTGGAAGGGAATCCGCAACCTGATTGGCCTACAGGAGAATCCCAGAATTAGCCAATCACATGGGGCCCATTGTGTAAATAATGTATATAAGGCAACCGTTCTGGGGGAACTTCCATTCCTCCTCACCACTATGAGCTGAATAAAGAGCATGAAATCCACTCTCGACTCGAGTATATTTCATGCACTAGTGCTGTTCAGTATTTTTTTGTGCAAGAGTTAGCCGAATACATCTCATAGTGCAGTGCTATCACAGTGTTATCAGGGATTGTGTTACAATATATGC